TGCACATTCCGAGACATAACGCCGGGCCGCCATCTTGTCAAGATGACATCTAAAATAGATTTTTTTCATTTATCTCCAAAAATGTGCATTTTCCGGAAAAATATGTTGGGAGAAAAAATAAAGAGGAAGAAATTCAGTACAATAAATGTTCCTAACATATTTTTGCTTGAGCAAGCCGGTTAGGCTCAAGAGCTGATTGAATTACAAACAAATTCTGTTAATTTTCAAATACTGCCACTTTTATTATCAAAGATGAATTTGTACGCATATATGGAGATAGTTGAGGGCAATTTATAGAGATTAACAGAATATGTTGTCATTCAATCAGCTCTTGAGCCTAAACGGCTCACTATACCAAAAATATACTCTTAACATTTCTTGTAGGAATTTTTTGCCTCTTCAATTTTCGTCTCCACATATTTTTCTAGAAAACGTACAGTTTTGGAGATATTTGCAAAAACCGTTTTTGAGCACCATCTTTGCAAGATGGCGGCACCGGCTCACTCACAAAGTTTCGAAACTTCCGGACTTATTTCCAGGTAAAAATCCACAATGACTGGCCTATTAGGAAAGTGATAGATAACCTGTCCAGAAATAATTGCCTGATATAAATTGAGTAACAACCTACGTGTAGTTAAATTGTTTTGTGAATGATTTATATCTAATATACTAATATTACCGTTTTGTGCTAGACCCTAAGTGTGATAAATGGATGAAATCAGATCTTCAGGAAGAAAATAAATGAAATACAGGGTCTACTATTTGGAAATTTATGAATTTTGCCCATAAGTATTTCTTGAGATGTTCAACTGTTTTTCAGTTGGCATTATATACAAAATCTACAGGAAAAATATGAAAGATCGTTCCTTGAAAAGAAATTGAACAATACATAAAAAGATGAGTGGAGTTTCTAAATATACGTGAAGACTTTGTCATGTGTCCTGATTTCTTCGTTTTCAAGGTACAGGGTATTAGTTTTTCAAAGAAAATAGCTTTTTTATTCAATACTCGAATGTATTTTGATCAATTTTATGAAATTCGGTATTTTTGTTCATAGTAACATATGGAGCTCCTTTTGGTGTGATTAGATTCCGATTAATATTTCCAGTGGCGTCACAGTGCCTTGATTCATCGATATTTATGGTTAATATCATTGTACGCTACTGGTTTCATATTTTCATCAAATTGAATGATCGAAATAATAGCTTTCTTATCACTTATGATACTCCTGTATCTCCCTCAGTTTCTGAGGAAACGATAAAAATTCGATTTGACTCAAAATTTCAATAAAGACACTCATTGAGAATAATCAATTTGAAATTTTGGGACTCCGTCAGACTCCAACCATTTTGAATTTTGACACCAGGGGGTTATGAATATGAACAGATGATACTTCGGATAGGACACATGTTCATATGAACTTTATTTCCCAAAATATTACAGGGAATTATCCCCCGAAGATAATAATAATAATAATAATATTTATTCAAGATACCAATGGAATGAAAATAAAAATAATTATACTACAAAAATACATTTTCAGGTATAGAATAAATAGTATTCCACTAAAAGAGAACTTGTATGTGGAAATGTTTGACATTGATTACATGTAGGATAATATAATATTAACTTATGGAAAATATGAGAAATTATAGGTAGCGACAAAGTAAATATGATTGTCCTGAATAACAAATAACAATTCAACAATTTATGCATGTGGAAGAAACTGGAGACAGGCAGTATTCATCTGAAAGAAACACTTGTACGATGAAATAACCCATCTGAAGTTGAATGTTCCCAAGCAAAAATGTTTATTATCGAAATACACACCCGCACACACACATACATACATACACACACTCACACATACACACATACACACATACATACATACACACATACATACAATATACATACATACGTACGCACATATATACATGTATAAGTGTATATGGATGAACTTTACAGTCGAAGCTAAGCACTTACCCAATTAAATGATGTATAAATTCTCTGGAATTGGTGTGTAACCATGCTTTGAGTTTAATTTTGAATAATTTCAATGGTTTAATTGATTTCAAATCATTGGGTAAGTGATTATATAATTTGGGGCACAAGTAGGGAAATGATCTTTGGAAAATTGTTTTTTCCGGTCTTGGTACTGAAACTGAGTTTAATCTGTATCTCGTTTGATATTGATGACTTATCTCAATCAGATTCGATTTGTAGTTGTATTGTTTAACTATAACAGCAAGTGAGTATAGTTGTTTCAGATCAAAGAAATTCGATTCATGAAAAAGTCGTTCCGTTGGGTAAGTGTAGCATTTTTTCATTATTATTTTGATGACATATTTTTGTACTATTTGAAGGTTGTGCATATGGGCGTCTGTTGTTCCTCCCCATGCTACTATTCCATATGCTAAGTGACTCTCAACAAGTGAATAGTAGAGAATTTTCAGTTGTTCAGTGGTTAATATTTGTACAAGATGTTTAAATTTTGGCAACAGGCTTCTGATTTTTTTGGTTACATATTGTGTTTGTTTGTCCCATCTCAAATGACTATCAATGTATATTCCTAAATATTTGATGTTATCCACAGATTGAATATGTGTGAATTTGTTATTTATTTTCACATTGAGCATATTGTAATCTGGTAAGTGGTTTTTATAAGATGTGAATGGGACAAAATAAGTTTTTTGAGAATTCACAGTGAGTAATTTAGTTACGAACCATTCAGAAATAATTGAAAAATCCCGTTCTGCTTTATTTTTGAGCTTTGTCCAGTTTTCATCCTGGTACAGAATAACTGTATCATCAGCAAAACCCATTATATCTCCTTCCGTATCCATATAGAATAAGTTATTTATGTATATATTGAAGAATATGGGCCCTAATACTGTTCCTTGAGGAACTCCATATTCAACTAGTTTGAAGTCGCTGTATACATTTCCGATTTTGACACATTGGTTTCGATTTGTTAAGTAGCTTCGGAGTAGGGTTAATGGTGTTCCTCGGATGCCAATATGTTCAAACGTTTGGAGAAGTTGGACATGGCTGACTGTATCAAACGCTTTTGCCAGATCGACGAAGACGCAAAGGGTTGGTTTTTTATCGTTCAGTGCATGATATAGTTGGGATGTTAACTTACCGATTGCGTCCTCAGTCGATCGGCCTTGCCTAAAACCGAATTGCTTATCTGAGATGATTTTGAATGTGTCCAAAAAGTCTAATAATCGTTGTTTTATGACTTTTTCGAATATTTTAGCCACATTAGATATCAGAGATATCGGCCGGTAATTTGCCATATCCAACTTGCTCCCTTTTTTATGTAGGGGTTTGATGACAGCTGTTTTCAAAGCATTTGGAAAAGTGCCCTCTTCGATCGACTTATTTATAATGTGAGTCATGGGTTTAGCAATTTCGGTGGCAATAAGCTTCAAGGTTTCTGCTCTGATTCCATCTATACCAGGTGATTTATTGTTTTTTAATGAATTTATTATGGCTATTATTTCTGGTTCTGTCGTTTCTCGTAGAAATAATGAGTTAACAATATGTTTTTCTTTGAATTTAGGATTTCTGATATCGCTCCGATGGATTTTGCTTGCAAGGGTCTTTCCGATATTTGTGAAAAAATTAAGGAATTCTTCTGATATTTGTTTTGTATTCGTTATTATGTCCCCATGATCACTTTGAACTTTCTCGATATTCTCATTTTTTGATTTTGTGTTACAAATTTCTTTGACACACATCCAAAGACCCTTGGAATCGTTTTTTGCTTTAGATATTTGCCGCTGATAAAAATTCATTTTTGTTAGTCGGATGAGTTCTGTAAGTCTATTTCTGTAGGTTTTGAAGTTCACTTTGTTATTTTCGCTTGGTTGATTTTTCATAATTTTATATAATCCCCTTGTGATCCATGGTTTCCGCATTTTTTCTTCTTTTTTGAATCTTACCATATTTGTGGATCTCTCGATGTACGATTTAATTTTTCTTATAAAGGTATCGTAACTATTATTTATATCATCGGAACTGTAAAGATCTTGCCAGTGTTCTGTTTTAAGTATGTTGACTAATTTTTTTTTGTCTAAGTAATATTTGTATTTAGGCATATTCGTCCCATTCTGAAGTTTTTCAGGGAATAAAAGTTTGAGGATTGTGGGAAAATGATCAGTAATTTTTTTGTGAAGTACAATAGGAATGAAATGGATGTTTTGATTTTTACTTTTCACGAAGATGTGATCTATACAGGTTTCAGTATTTCCTTCGACTCTGGTTGGCTCATTTATTGCAGACAGAAATCCTTCTTCTGCTATGTTATTCAAATAATTTTCAGTGCTTTGTGATTCTTCTCCAATACGAATATTTATGTCGCCTAGAATAATGTGTATATCGTTTGATTTGTCACATGTTGTTAAATATGTTTTCAGATCTGCGATAAATGAATCAGCACAAGATGCTGGTGATCTATAAATACTAGTAAATAAAATTATTCTATTAGATTTAGTGATTTTTGTTTCAACTGCATTCACCTGCCCAATGTTCAGAATTTCTTTTTCGAATTCCAGTGTTTCTTTAATATACACAACCACACCATCGTTCTGGTTGAAATTGCCCTCATTGTATATCAGAGTATAATTTTCCAAGTTGTATAGATTGATATCAGTAATAAACCAGGTTTCAGTTAAAACGATGAAGTCGAAATCACTTTCCAATGTACTTAGAAGAATTAATAGTTCGTCGAAGTTTTTTTTAATACTTCTAATATTCATATGGAATATCTTGAAGTCTTCGAATTCTATGTTGGTATCAATAAGTTCTTTGAACGTCGTTGTTTCTTCAGCAACGTATGTTTTGATTGATTCAATTTCAAAATTGTTTATATAATCATCCATTTCTTTCAGTTTATATTGTCTATCTCGTATACTTGAATATTTATTTAAATATACCTATATAGTTTGACATTCATGAATTATTGACAGAATAACTATAATGTTATTGATAATGTGAAAGTATAGATTTAAATGATTGATATAATCACACAATATTGAAAAAGAAAAAGAAATCACGTTATTATTAATTGAGCTGAAAGTCAATTTCTATGTATGTTTACTAGTCGTAGATTGAAGGCGGTTCGACGACCTGATATTTGTGTATGTAACTTTTGGTTTAGTTGCTGGCTTCCCTGCTTCTGGTGGAGTACCTTCGGGCTGTCTCTTCTCTCCTCTTGGTTCCTTGTTTGTTCCCTCGTCTCGGATCCCCTTGATCGGTACAGTTGGCAAGTTTTCGATTTGATTGTTATTTTGGGATAGATCTTCGTATGTATATTTGTCTCCGTTCACGAATAATGTATTATTCTGAATGTAAGCAGAATAGTTCCTCTGTCTGGCTAAGACAAGATTTTTGTGGAGCAGCTTCCGCTTTTCGTATACTTCTGGTGTGTAGTCTTGTGTAATGAATAATCTACTTCCTTTCTCTAGGGTTTTGGCCTTGGACAGTATTTCTTGTTTTAATTCATATGTTGATAACTCGGCTACTATTGGTCTATGTTTATTGATTTCATTAGTTTCTTTTCCTATCCGATGGCAGTCTCGTATTTCATTTTTATCGCATGTCACGTTCAATTTTTCATTTATCACTTTCAAGAGATCGCTTTTGATTTGGTTATTTGTTTCTTCTAATCCATATAAAACAATATTGTATTTTCTATTCTTTCTCTCAATGGTTTCGATTTTCTTCTTCAGTTCACGATTTTCAGATTCTAGTTCAGATATTTTCTTGTTGGCAGAACTTAGCTCAATTTTTATATCTGATATATTTTCATTAATTTGCACAACATCTTGTTTGATTGCGGTATTTTGTTGAATAATTTGGTTGCTTTGCTCCGTAAGGTTTTTCAGTAATTTTGCTATTTCTTCATTCGAAATTGATGATTGTGAACTTGTCGAATTGGTCCGAGGACGATCATCAGGCATATTCGACGAGTTTGTCAGTTCAAAATGTAGTAAGGCTTGCTACGTTACACCTCCGGTGACAGTGGATAAACTAATTTAAAATATATCAATTGATATTCTGCTATACGCTCTCAGTGAGTTCGTGAATAGGTGGGGTATCTGTTTCACTGGTTAATTGTTTTGTAGGTACTTACAGTACGAAATCCATATGAGAAAAAAAAAAAAACTTTCTGTCTTTATTCCTTTGTCACTGAACTTTTTGATTTTCAAGCATGTTCATTATATGCACTATGTATATGGTCGCACTCATTAACTAACACCCTGTATACACGAATAATCAAGGCTCACATTGTATCATCGTAGATGGTTTCGAGCTTCCACTCCTACTCCAAATTATACTTTGAGCAACCATGAACTATCAACAACAACGTTTGATTCAATATGGGTTGAATATCACATTTTTGATTTAATTTACTTTCAAATCGGTTTTGAATTGGAATTTTTCCTTTCAATCCCTATGTATATATATATATAAACTTGGTATGTTATATGTTTATATTCTTCAAGCGCAACATTATAAAATAGTTTATGTTTTGGAATGAAGAGAATATTACATGTGAAAGTTTGCGATTAAAAATAACAAAAATGAACGATGTGTGAACGTAAATGCAGCAGACAATATTAATCGTTATCTCTATGGTCATAACAATATCATTCCTCACCTGATTAATCATATACCTATTCAGACTTATATATTACACTTTCGATCATCTTGAAATAAGTATATAACATACCTCAACAGGAATAAATTCATATTTATTTTGTGAGAGATCAATTAGTGATTCACACGAAACCAACGAAACGAGACTTTCATAAAGTCTCGTCTCGTCTCGCCGATGGAATATGAAGTCTTGTCTCGAGTCTCGTCTCACAGCCTCGAGTCTCGTCTTGTCTCGCGTCTCGTACGAGAGTCTCGCAAATGTATCGCAATTTCGTCATGCATAATCTTGTTCCAGTCTGGTACGGGATATTTGCCTTTACCTACTTCTCAGATATATTGTACAAGTAGGAAGAGAAAATGACAACAAACATAACATTATTTATCGAAAAGTAAGTACCTAATAGGTACATACTCACATCATACATCTTTATCTTAGACTATTCAGCACAGATCAGGTTGTCATTCAATTTGCGATCTGTCGTTATTGCAGAATTGCCTTTATATTTCGTCACCGTAAGAGAGAGAATAGTCCGTTTTCGTTTCACGCATCACGTCGTTTTACAACAATCATGGATTGTGTTTTTTAAGTATTTATGAATGGAATCATTTGTCTATCTGTACTAAATAGTCTGAATTCTTCATAAATATGTTGTATTATGAATGAAATTCTCAAGTCTGCAGTCGGCACACAGAAATAGTTACCTGCGAGACTCTCGGACGAGGCACGAGAAGTCTTGCACGAGACTAGACCAAGACCGAGTCTCGTCTCGAGTCTTGTCTCAAAAACGAGACGGGACCATGCGAGACTCTCCCGGGCGGACACCACTAAGATCAATAATTATTATTATTCAGAAGTTTCCGAAGTGATCAAATAATGAAAGAAATATCAGTTTATTACGATACTACGATATGATGATTATATATTATATCTAATCTAAAATTTTATTCAAACTATAATAATTCATTTCGAACCTGTCATCATTTCCTTTTTCGATTTCTTGATGAACTCTTTTCAAACTGAGCTTTTAAATTTTGCAAAAACTTTGATATCCATATATATCTTCCCTTTCTCATCCCTTCATTCCCGTGGAACTAGCTTTCCATATTTTATTTATTGAAAGTACTTAATCATGAAAAATTGCGCGCTCTACTAAAACTGCGAATCCAGACAATTACTGCAACTTTCCTCATTTGCCTAAATTTCCCAACACGAGTTGCGGCTAATGGAATCTAATGCTTTGAGCGGTTCGTCATTTACAGCGCTTAAGATCTATTACTTTACCTACATGATGTTTCGAACCCATAGAATATGCTTATATTATTTCCAAGAATAGTTGAGTATAGTGTCGATAACATTGTCATTCCTTGTTTGGAATAGAGAATTTTTTTCCACCACTAGCTATGACACTAACATAAATAAGTCATGGAAACCATCCATCCTTCTCAAAGTGGTCCAAATTTTTTCAAAGAAAAAACAAAATACACGACCGACTTTGTGTATTTTGTTTTTTCTTTGACTAACATAAATAACTATAATGAAGGGACCTTTAATGTCACCTGTGTTTCTAGAAGAGAATTCTAGAGATGTGATAGTTTTCGATACTGAAATAATGGAGGCAAATAGCTATAACTAAACAGAAAAAAAATATTGTTTGAAACTGCAGAATTTTTGTAAGTTCAACAAGCAACAAATATTTTTTGTCAGTATCCAATTCAAAATTCATTTGATGCAACTTATTAATGATTCAAATTAACAGCAGGAATTGGTTCAATAAACGAAGACTATTTTGTTCCTATAATACAATATCCGCTCTTATGAACGATTCAGTTGATTGAAATGATTATATAATTTCATTCATGTGACAAAATTTTCAGTTTTTCAGAGTGTGAATATGTTAAAATAACGAAATATATTGTTCGATCAACCAAATTGTATTTAGAATTGACAACATATTTTTCTGAAAACTATTAAAAAAAATCCAATAACTGAATTTCAAAACCAAAAGAAATTAGAGACCAAATTCCTCAGTTGATTCAACTCATAATAAATTCTAGGACAGCCTAATATAATTATACAGTGCGTTCATAAAGTGTGGAAACGCTCCATTATCTTACGATATAATTATTTTCAGAGGTAAAGCTCGGACAGGTCGATTTTGTATTTCAGTCTTCCATCTTTTTTTACAAAAAAATAATTTTTTCCCCCACCACCTTACAAGATATGACGTCATCGATATTTTTTTCAAATTGAATGGGTATATTTTTATATCAAAAATTGAAAGCCCATATTTTTCTGAGTTCAACCATACCACATACGTCATATCTTACACTTCAAGTTACAGTATACTGAGTATAAAAGAAACCAGTGTTCATATTTCTCAACATTCATTTAATTATTTATTTGCAATGAAAATTTCATAAGAAGTAGTGAAAATAAACAAATAACAAATCTACAGTATGGCAAATATACTCGTACTAACTACTGAGTAATTCTCAGGTTTCCATTGCAAAATAAATAATTAAATGAATGTTGAGAAATTTGAACACTGGTTTCTTTTATACTCAGTATACTGTAACTTGAAGTGTAAGATATGACGTATGTGGTATGGTTGAACTCAGAAAAATATGGGCTTTCAATTTTTGATATAAAAATATACCCTTTCAATTTAAAAAAATATCGATGACGTCATATCTTGTAAGGTGGTGGGGGAAAAAATTATTTTTTTGTAAAAAAAGATGGAAGACTGAAATACAAAATCGACCTGTCCGAGCTTTACCTCTGAAAATAATTATATCGTAAGATAATGGAGCGTTTCCACACTTTATGAACGCACTGTATAAACAAATGTTTAAGGTAGATATATGAACACCCCAATCAAGGCGAGCGTAGGAAGTTTGGAAGAAACGCCACCTGGTGGAAAAACTGCAACTAGTCATTCAACAAAATATTTGTTTGATATAATGCATTTGTTAGTTCTGTTCAACAAAGTAATTTGTTTGAAATAACAACATATTACTTGATAGTGATGTGTTGAATCAACAAAATATAATGTTGTCATAATCTATTCAATTTTGTCGAATAGAAAAAAACCTTTGATTGGTTGCACAATGAAATGATTGTTGACCCAAGAAAATATGATGTTGTATTCAGTTAAATCTTTCTCAAAATTAATTTAATTTTGTCGAATAGACAAAATGCAATTGATTGAACAATGAGATAATAGTTGGATCAACAAAATTTGTTTTATATCAACTATAAATGTTGTTGAATGAAATGAAACTTTTGTTCAAGTAAGCAAATATTTCAATCAAACTATTTTGTATCCTTGAATAGGTTGGTCATTTGGAATGAACATATACATATTTTGTTGATTTCGCATAATTGTGTTTGATTTAACAAAAAACAAATGACCAAAGTTATTTTGTTGGTGCAACAAAATTTTTTTTCCGTGTAACTGAATTACAAAAATTATAGCCAATAATCTGGTCTGATCTCGTCATCCGATTACTGATTTCATGATTTTAAGATAATCGTATTGAAACGTATTTGCCGCTCTTGATTTTCTAATTCCCGAATTTCCTGTTCTCCTGCTGAAGCGAGATCACTAAATAACAAGCTATCCTCCAATCAAATAATCAAGTTTGCATTGCTCATCCCTTGAAGACAATGACCGTTTGAGTTTATCCCTAGATTTATCTATAGAAATAATATATTAATATAATATATTATTCTTAAGCAACTCTATTGCAATGGCATATAATAATTCGCATGAAGATATACAATAACACGCTTATATTAGCTTGGTATTTATGTATGTATGATTGTTTTGGTTGTATGTAACGGGAAATCTTTGAAAGTGATTCTGACCTACTTCAAACGATGAATTAAAATGAAACTTCGCACAGATACGGCCTGTTCTAGAATACTGTTCCTACATATGGGGTTCAGCACCAAAACATACGCTGATGCTCTTAGATTCCATCCAGAGAAGAGCCATTCGCCTGGTGGGTGACGCCACACTCACTCACTCTTTGACATCATTGGAACACCGTAGAAAGGTCGGCGACCTTTCACTTTTTCATCGATACTTCCACGGGAAATGTTCTCCGGAAATCTCTGCTATCATCCACCCACTAGCAATACCAGTCAGACGAACTAGACAAGCCCAGTCAGTACATCCTTTCGTTGTCAACCTCGAAAGATGTCGAACAGCACTTTATCAAAACTCCTTCATCCGTAGAACGGCTAGGCTCTGGAATTCATTGCCTGAGGAAGTATTCCCAACAACATATTAACTTCAGAAGTTCAAAAAAATTCCAATACCTACCTCCTGTCCCTATCCTCCCTAGGAACGTACGATGTTCTTTGAACATTATAGGGATTTCATTTCGTGCGCTCCAAGAGATAAAAAAAACACTTATCAAAACCGATGACGGTAGCATTATTTAATGGTTTTGTTGATAGATGTTCCGCCACCAAATTTTGAAAATGTTCCTTCACCAAAATCCCAAATGATCATTTTTATTATCTCGAATTTCTTTACAATGCATTTTATTTATATCCAGAGACACGGCAGTGTCTTACACCAAGTACTCGCATCAATAGTATTCATATATATAGAGTACAAAAGCACACTTTTGGAAACTTGAAGAAAACTTGGAAAATACTGTTCTCAAATGATGTGAAACATATTGAATTCCCAGGGATATTTATTTTGAGGGTATAAGCAGTCCCTCTAGTTTAAATCTATCACTAACCAATTTTTCATTGGGAATTAACCAGCATGAGCAATAATTCTATGTGTGTACAGCCCCTGACTAGCGAAATTAAAATTGAAATTACACTATTTCCCAATAATTATCCTCGTCGGAATAATTTATTGGTGATGATGATGTTTCGATGAGACAATGAAGAAACAATAGGACTAACACTCTGCTCCGCTTTTCAGAAAACACGTACCTACACGATGAACATCTCCGATGAAGAAGAATTGCTCAACAGCAGCGCCCTCTACAGGGAATGTGGACACACCGACACAACACCTGGTAAGATATATGTCTAAAGATTGAGATGGGTGTCCAGTATGGGGTCGACACAGCAAACCATAGAAAATATAATTTTCTTCATTGGTGGAATGCTTGAAGAATATCCAATTCATAGCTCCAGAAAATGCTCAAAATTTCTCTAATTCTGTAAACAGCACAAAAACTGCATGCATGAATAGATTTGTAAGTACCACCAGGAAGAAGAATTAGAAGTTATTTGGAAAAGAGTAAGTATATCAACGAGTCAAAAAAGGGACAATGAATACCTATCAAATTCGTGGAGATGCTGCAAAAACATGAAACTGACAGATAGGACATCATGATCTGTATTGCCTTATCCACGACTTCCTCAAGCATAACAATAGTCATTTTCCATACCAGTGAATATAGTGGTGAATAACCTTTGCTTGAGGAAATACATGTATTATGAATAAATGAGTAAAACAGGATATCTTCAATTTCTTGCTTTCTCAATGTCAAATAAGTTATGATAAAACAGTTGTTAAAAAAAATTCATATATCCTATGATATATCAAAGACAATAGTAGTCGTGGACAAAGTATTGTCTTCTACTCGCATATAATGTACTACCATTCACGAAGCTTAGGTATATGTCACGAGCTTATGCGTAACGAGTGGCATGAACTCAAGTTTCGTGAATAATATTATATCATGGTACCTACCAAGATTGCTAGGATTTGGAGGGTAGAATTGATGATGATTAGTAGATGAAGGTTATTGCTTCGATCAGAAGAAGAAATGTTCTATCAATTTACTTGCCACACGAGCTAGAAAAATTTGATAGTGTAAGGTAGATTCTGGTTACCTTCTCATCGAAAATGCAGTCTACGTTATATCTGGCTTCAATAAATCGTTAATTTTTATCGCTGTCTCCGATACCGAACTCCTCAAGATAATGATTTTTCTGATTTCCAACTATGCAAAGTGAAATATCGCCACCGGTTCATCCTGGCTCATCGAAATTATCTTCGATTAATCTGTTCTATCACCATGAGGAAACAATAATCGGTGGGGTGAAAGAAACATCATCGAACGTCATAAATTATCCTATTTGCTGGTGAATTATAGTCCGGAGCATCCGATGTTGAATTGACCAATGGAGGACCAACGTGAACAGTCGTGTATTGTATCCACAGAATGGGGGAGACCACTGATTTTTTCAAAACAACATCATCCTGAACTCTATACTAAAAAAATACCAATGAAATAATTTTGAAATATTTCATTCATGCTAGGACGATGAAAAAAATTGAATGAGAATATGGCTATTTCAAAACACACAATTCCTGCGCCATTTGAAATGGTGTCAATTGATTGGTGTGACTGGTGCGACGTATTAGTCCCAACACGCCTATTGTCCTTGAGCTGACCAATCACACTGCAACACTGCAGAATGGCGAGGTATCAGAAAGAGATAGCTACAGTCGGGACTAATACGTCACGGCCCCACCTTCATATTTGGCTTTTGGAAATATCGATGGGAATATGCTGATTTAAAAACGCTATAGATTCGATTTTCTTCAACTTCAACTCATAATATTGATTGTACATCAAACGTGAATCATGATACGTTGATTGAAAGAGGTTTGCACGGATTTCTTCCATCCGTGGTCTTCCCCATGCGTATCCAATATAGCGGACGAAGGAATCATACATCAGCTGCAACACTGTAAGTGAACCATAAACAGTGGCGGCGTTAAAATTCGTTGCCAAATGTATATGGACGCCAGTGGCGTATCTCGAAGATGACATGAAAGTATTATATGAATTTTTGGAAAATCAGAAGATGACTATAGAATTCCAATGAGAAATTTCGATAATATGCTGCTCATTTTTATGCACTCTACATGTCCGATTTTAGTTTTTGGGAAAGAAATTCACTGCACAAATATAGAATATAATTATAAAAAGGCATCTTTCATATTTTGTGCACATTTTTCAACATATTCAATGGTCATAGTTCATGGTTCAAATAAGAATCGCATCCCATTGTATCAAATCACTGAGTTAATTTCAGAAGATTTTCAAAAAGAGACTGATAGACTATATGCAGATATAAATTTATGTGAAAATTGTCAGTCAACTGTTACTAGAATTCACATTTTGGTGCACTCCTTTCATTGTGCTGGAAGCTGAAGAAGATGTTTCCATCAGGCTGAAAAATATAGGGTATCTCATTGAAGGTATAGGTACCAGGAATCACTCATAGAGAACATACAATTATACCCCAAATTGAAAGGTCTTTCCCTCAGACTGATCTCATTGAAGTTCTCGAAGAGCTTTCAGAATCAATTCCTGATGGATCATAAATTAACAATTTTCCATGTGAAGACAATTAATGTTGGTACATCATCTGAAAATTCGGGGACAGTGTTTTCAACAGCTTCACCTGAATATATATAATGTCGGTTTTGAGTTACCAAGTATAATATTGATTTAGCAAATATTCAATGATAATATTTTTGACTTTTCGAAAATAAATTTAATGACAAGCAGTCACAAGTGGCAGCTAATAAAACTAGCAACATTTCGTTGATTGTAAACAAACCGATGAAAAAATGCATGACCTACGCCTCAGTAGCTTCTCTCCTATCCTGCATTACCGTACAGCAACGTAAGTCTGAGATTAGTATAATCTGACCAATATTTCAATGCCCATGTTTTGTTCAGAAATTTGGTATTAAACCATAGGTTCTGTGACCCCTAACTACACTGTTACAAGTTTTTTTTTTTTTTTATCGCTTGGAGCGCACGAAAGGGAATCCCTATAATGTTCAAAGAACATCGTGCGTTCCTAAGGAGGATAAGGATAGGAGGTAGGTATTGGAATTTTTTTTGAACTTCTGGAGATTATATGTTGTTGGGAATACTTCCTATTCAATTGTTTAAGTTACTTACTCTTTAGCATTCTGTTGTTGCTTCGGAAAGGCTGGATTAATTTCGTATTTGCCTCGTCTATCGCTAATAGGAATTAGGAGTTGAATATGTGCATGGCATTGGTTATTATGAATCAAATCGATTATATGGAATGATAATTCGTTCAGTATTATAATTTCTCCTATATTCCTTCTCCTCCCTATGTGCTAAAAGTACTGTGAGAAGTTGTCTTATATAAATCTGATGAAGTTTTCACTACCACAATGAAAATTTCATTGGCCATTAATAAACTCTTTCCTCGTTGTATCCAGCATCTGTAATAACCATATAGCACTTTGCTATGATTTGCCGATGACCCAACCCAAGGATTCTGATTCAGCAGCATGATTAAATTTATAATTGAATTCAGTCTCCTATTGCGGCGATGACTGATCCCAAATGTATGACATGGGGATTTCTCTATATAAAAGCTTCATATATGGACCTATCTATTTTGTCTGGTAACTTAATTCAGCTTTTGTGGTGTATCGCCTGGAAGGGTATAATTCCCCTTTCGATCCAAAATATAGGACATAACATTCATAACATAACCATAAGTCTGGACCCGAGATATTCAAATTCCTATATAAACTACTTACCAGATGAAGTGGGACAGCCAAAAAATCGACTAATTTTGATAAGCTATAACTCGAACATTTCTTGGCCGATGTTGGATTTCCAACCAAAGGTAGAAAGCGTCATCCTTGGGCTATGCGTCATTGGCGTCGGGTTTTCATTTTTGCGATAGGTTCTCTTTGTACAGAGTGTGAATTAAGAGCCGGAAAAATTTCAAATTTTTGACCAATAATTTGGGAAATGTGAGGGATCCTAGAATTATTTTTTAGATGTTGGGTGAATGGTTGGTCCGATACCTCGAGACGTCTTTGAAATTTTTTTGATAAATTGCGTTGCTATGGAAAAATCACCATTTTATGAAATTCCATTTTTATTTCAAAATGTGGCCTCTTTTAGTTAAACAATAACAGCCAACATCTAAACTGCAACAAAGGATATTTCTACTGAAGATAATCAACACCAGTGGCGTGCAAAAAGGGGTTTATGATATTTAGAAACGAAAAATTTGTTTTTATTGAAAAAATTCAACAGTTTTATTGATCGTTACAGTTAAAGAGGTGTCATACCCTCAATTAGCATATGTTGTCAAATTCAGAGGCGTCCAAAAAAGGGGCATATGATATTTAGAAACAAAAAAAAGTTTTTATTGAGAAAAATCAACAGTTTTATTGATCGTTACAGTTAAAAAATTGCCATACATTTAATTAGCATGATGTTGACAAATTCAGAGGCGTGCAAAAGATGATCCTGTAATGTAGACAGATTAAAATTCCACTTTCATAATTCATTTTATTTTCATTTATTTACAATAAGGTGCATACATGTAATTATTTCTCTTCTGATGAATCCATCGGCGTACAAAATAAACCATATGCTCACGTACGTTAGAGAACGTTATTCAAGAAACTAAAAAAAACACAAATAAATGATTATTCATGAAAAAATAATCTGAAAATCATTTTAGTAACGCGTTAGCCCCACTCTAGCCTGAATAACTGCCTGGCACCGACATGGCATGCTCGAAATTAATTCGTTTATTAGTTCTATATCTATAGGAACTATAGGAGTTTCTGTCTGACGTTCCCTTCGGGAAAATTCCAACTTCATCCAACTCCAGATGTGCTCAATGGGATTCAAGTCTGGAGATCTGGGAGGCAATTCACTACGATTTATATTTTGGTCTTGCAGATACCTCTTTACTAATATTGCCCGATGAGGCCGAGCAATGCACAATTGATAAAATATAGAAGTTAACGAAAGTACCCAGTACTGCTTACTGACACTACCAGTAGGCCCATACTTGGTCAGGGTTATTTTTTTTCACTTTCTCACTCATTCAAGATGAGCATCCATTAATACAAGGCGATTCAAAAATTTTACATCATATGGAACCGTTTTTAATAATTTTGCTAAGTGTTGTTCTCTGTTCGCCCAGTAAAAAATTCCTTGATCGTGGGTATTTTTGATGAGCCTCGTATCCCTGGCCA